CTTGGAGCCCATATGCGTTCAGAAGATGTTGGTACTGAACAGGATTTCGTTGCAACCAAAGTCTTCACTCACCCGTCATATCACAGACCTAAAGGTTACAGTCACGACATCGCTCTCTTAAAACTGGAAAAACCCGCTCTTCTTAACAGGTGTGTATTTTTGAATCCCGTTCAAAGCCTCAAAATTTTTTCAGCTCTTTTTTCCAGTAGTGTTATGGCTGCATTCGCATCTATCATCAGGTATGTGTTTTGTTCGCAAACAGTTGTCATATTCTTTAGCCCCGCGGGTTTGGTGTCGCAGACCAGGTATTGAGGCAAGCCAATCTTGACTTGAATAACATAGCACAAGCCATGACGTTAATTTAAAAAGTTTCTAATATTTAGGTTTTACACAAGCTGCGCATTTCCGGCCATTCGGCCAAAAACTCGCGTAAGAAGTTCCGCAACTTGCAGTGGCGAATTGAACATGCAACGTTTTGCAGAATTTTCCAAATTTGCGGAAATCTCTTCCTGAAATTTCTGTTCCATTTTATTTTTCTCTGAAGTTTAAGGTATTTTCGGTCGAATGGTTTGCATTTCCCAAATTCGTCAATTTTCGAATTTCGGAAACTTTCTAAGGAAATTTCCGTACTCTTTACCTCCATTTGGAAACTTTCCGGAAGTTTTGGTTGAATGGAAAGTGCCTTTCATCACCATCTTTCTAAGATCTCAAGGGGGTAGAGGAGGGTGTGATGCCTCAAACGCCTTTAGTGTTTGTATATTTGGATCGCTCGAAACAAAAAGGTTACACTTAAACTTCTATTGCCTACTTTTCAGTAATTACAAGGACACCCTTGTGACCCTCCAGGCTCCTAACCAACTTTCAAGTTGTTGGCTTTCCTTTCAACTGCATGGACTTACCCCTTTTCAATCGAACCTTTCATGAACGTCATCCAATACTGCATTGAAAATTCAGTTCAGCGTCCGCTTTATAGAGATTTTCCAAGACAGAAATTGCCGAAATGGAATTCATTTTGCAATTCATTTATTACTTTATTTTTTCCTCAACTGATCTTAGGTATGTGAACCTCGCTTGTCTTCCACACAACGTGGAGGCGCCTGTAGACGGAGAAACATGCTGGATCACCGGCTGGGGCAGACTGGCTGCAGGAGGCTCGTCTCCAGAGTATCTTCAACAGGTATCCGTGCCAGTAGTGAGTCGCGGGCGCTGCGACAGGGCATATCCAAATAAAATCCACGATTCCATGATCTGCGCCGGCCTGGACCAAGGCGGCATCGATTCTTGTCAGGGGGATAGTGGTGGACCAATGGTGTGCGAAAAGGGCGGGAAATTTTATCTGCAAGGCGCCACTAGCTGGGGCTATGGCTGCGCCGAAGCTGGGAAGTTTGGTGTGTACGCCAAAGTGAAATATCTTCTGCCTTGGCTCACCTCTGTAATGTCGAACAATTGATTCATGTCCTAAAGATATAAGTGTCCTATAGGATAAGAAGTGAATGACACACTAGATATTCTAAGTTGAAGGAATCGTCAATAAAAGTTGGGCATATGTGATTTGTGCTGCAATTGCTTTTTTTTTTTTTTTTTTTTTTTTGCTTCAGTAATTAACATCGAGTAACATAATTGTTTCTTTTTTCCTATATTTATTTTGTGTCCCCAAATTAGTATGGGA